GAGAATCACATGCATCTCTTCATAGATACGAATTTGTTTTACATATAAGATAAAGCCACGTAGTCGCGGCTGACCTGTTGAGCTGCAGCGCTGCTGCTGCTGCTGCTGCTGCTCTTGCTGCAGTACTAGTCCTGCTGGAGGTTTATTTGTTCTGCAGCAGCAGCAGCAGCAGCTACAGCAGCTACTGCTGCTGCTGCTGCAGTTGCTGCTGATTCTGCTGCTGCTGCTGCAGCTGCTGACGCTGCGGCAGCGGCTCCTGCCGTTGCTGCAGCTATCCCTGGAGCTGCGGCTACTGCTGGCGCAGCCCAAAATGTTCCCTGCTGCTGCTGCTGCTGCTGCAGCTACTGCAGCAGCAACAGCAGCCACTGCAGCAGCAGCAGCAGCAGCAGAGTTGCGAGAGCAAGGAGACAGGCTCTGTGTTGCCCCTTTCAAATCGAGAACCTCAGCATAGGGTTAGAGTGCATTCTGTGCTTCCTGCTGCTGAGGCTCAGCTATGTTGTTTGTCTCGCGCTGCAACGATGTGTTGCTGCAGCAGCTGCTGCAGCAGCTGCTGCTGGCTGCTGCTGGAGGCAGCAGCTCTGCTGCCCCTTCTTTACCCAGCAACTATTGGGGTGTACGTACACCTCAAGGCCCCAATCAATTCCTCTGGCTCCGACCCTCACCTCAGCTCAACAACACTCCGAAGGGGCCCCCCTGGGGCCCCCTCCCACATCACGTTGGGGGGCCCCTGGGGGCCCCCCTCCCACATCACGTTGGGGGCCCCTGGGGGCCCCCCTCACACAGCACTCGAGGGGGCCCCCCTCACAAAGCACTTGAGGGGGCCCCTGGGCCCTCCCTTTGCACAGCTCTTCAGGGGGCCCCTGGGGCCCTTCGTCATACAGCACTCTATGGGGCCCCTGGGGCCCCCTCACACAGCAGTTGAGGGGGCCCCTGAGACCCCTCGCAGGGCATATAAGGGGGCCCCTGAGGCGCGGCTATGAGTAGAGTTCTAGCCTGCTGCCTCTTCTTTGGGGGCGTCCCCTTACTCCCCCAGATATATATATATATATATATATATATATATATATA